ACCCCAAATTATGTTTTACTGCTGCTTAGAAAGGCAGGCAAGCTTTATCTATAGGACATTGTTGTAGACTGTAGAAGTACATCCTATGTCAGTGAACAGAAAAGATGTGGGATGTCATTGCTGGGGCAAGATCTCCTGCATCCACTAGTGAAGGAGGTTGTCAGCTGAGGTTACAGACCTTTCAGTTTCTGCTTAATCCCTCATAGACATGTAGCTGATGTTGTCATGGTGAAAAAGGACGTATCAGGACAGCTCTCCTTCCCCATCATATGCATGGAGAGGAAGTCTTCTGCACGTTGGCAGTTTAATATCCTTCAAGTGATCTAGGCAGGCAGCACCCTCTGGTTTCACATAAAAAGATCAATCAAAATGTTCCTGGGAAATCAGTGATGAATCTGAGTCTCTCTGGTTAGGCCTCCAGGTCTAGAAACATAATGTATTTCTAAATTCAGTGTAATGAACCTGAGCATTTAACTGTTTATAGCTCCTAATAATCCCTCCTAAGTCTGATGTCTAATTAACTAAACATAACAAACTTGCCTGCAACTAGAACTGGTTGTATGTAATTTGAATAAAAAAATAGCATAAGATTATTTGCATATCCATAAAACTTAACACCCACAAAAATATTCAATAATACAGTAAATCTTAGTTTTTGAGTACTAGATCTCACTTATCAGAATAAAAAGAATGCAAAAAATAATTATGCAGAACTTATTTTCACTCCAGAAGTAGATTTATCAAGTGTGAAATACTAGAAAATGAAAAATAATGCTTCTGGGTACAGAGTTTTTATTTTGTATGTTGTTGATATCAAAAGCAAATATGTTACTATCCTTCCTGATTCTTTAGGTACAATGTGTTGTACTCAGAACAATGATTCAACAAGTTTGTATTTTTCATTATGTGTAAAACGCAGTTTGTCCTTTCCCCAAAACAAATATTTAGTAAATACAGATTTATTTTACTAGACTCTTAGATTGCTGACTCACTTATAAATGAGGATTAGTCCACTAAGAGGATGACCATCTGTTTCAGCCTTTTTTTCTCCATAATGAAATTGGAGTGAAGTGATTTTAACAATGGAATTTTAACAGCCAAGTGATTTCAGCTTCTTTGGGGAAAAAAAAAAAAGTCTTGAGCCCTAAGATACTCTTGACCAAAATACCTTATAATTGATTTTATTTATATTCTTATTTTTGTTAGGAATAAGCATACTTCAGCCAAGGTCCAATTAGCAGGATGGCATGATAGGTAAATACTGAATAGGATAATTGTGACCACCACAGTTGTAAATAAAGTCTGACTTTACAGAAAATGTCCATGTGGAAACATTATGAGGACATGGGGCACCATTCAGGAATGCTCTGCATAATTTGACTTTATTCTTTAAATAGGAACAGATATTTATGCTTATGAAATGTTTGTAATACTTATTGACTTCTTATTATGTAATGCTACTAGGGAACTCTGACTAGGAGTTAGACATTAATATATAGATTTGAATATTGATCTTGAAAGTTAGGCCTTGAGAGTCTGGGAAAAGGGTCCTCATTCACTTTTTTAAACACAGGCCTCTAAATCAAAACATTTTCAAGGACTTCATTACCTCAGACAAATTTCATTCTACTTTTTTAAAGCTTTGTATCCCACAGGACTGCCTTACCAGAAAAAAAAAAAAAAACAGATTATGCACAGTTCCTTCAAGCATGAAAGTATGTTAGATACATTATGGACTAATACATTGTAAGTATGACAGGTATGGATGACAAACATAATTAAACCTGATATTTAGTCCATTAACTAATAAAAAATCTATAATTAATAAAGAAGGAATAATCAATAATATATTTTTTCCATAAAAATATAAACAGTTTAAGTCTGATTTAACTTTTCTGCATTCTTTAATCAGAAGATGAGATTTCTGTTAGATGTTAAAAAAAAAATTCTTTTTGTAGGAAGTGAAGGCTTGATCTCAATACTGAAATCTCCTTGAGTATAAATTGCAGATTGAGTTGAATCTAATCTGTATGAAAGTGCCTTTAACCCAGCACTTAAATAACTGAATTTTCTCTATAATCCACATTTTAGAACGGAGTGCTCTAAAGGTCCCTGAACACCTCAGCAGATGTCAGGCTGCGGTCTAGGACTGGCGTTGCTGTCAGTGGGGATGGACAGGACACCTCCAGGGCTGGTGACCCAGACAGGGCCACCTCAGCACCACAGCTTGCCGTGGGGCTGATGGGAGAGCAAGAGCAGTGAGCAAGGCTGGCAGCAAGGGCAAGGACAGCTCTGTTCTGCTCTTAGGGTGCCCAGCAAGGAGGTGTCAAAATGATGTCTTTGAACTGCTGAGGTGACTTACTGAAATGATGTCTTTGAACTGCTGAGGTGACTTACTGAGGCTTACAATCTGTGACTTACTGTGACTTACAATCACGATACTTGTGGTTGTGTGTGCCAGTGGCAGAACCCTGCAACCCAAACACTGGCAAAAAGAAAAGTCAGAGTGAACAGTGGCTAGGCTAGAAACTCAAATGCCCTATTGTCTTTTTGAACTACAAGCAAGGATGTACTACAAGCAAGGATGTACTACGTGCCCCTGTGGATTGTGATGGAATACCTGATGTCACTGCACCGTCTTGCTCTGTCTGCCCTTTTCTGTCAATTAGGAATGATAAAGTTACAAGACTAATACTGTCTCTAATGACACTGACAATAAAGTCTGTTTATGGGGCAGGAGGAAGAATTCCTCTGGTGATTAATCCATTGTTGCTCAGAGATTACAGTAGCATTGCTTAGAGTAATTCCTGCAGAGATACTGTATTAGGTTGGTAAAACTAATAACAATTTCATTAAGCTAACAGCTTCTAATGCTAATAATAATTCTGTTAAATCTTAATGGATATACCTGTCCTTGCCTTACTTTTTCATTTACAATTTATTGCAGATACACTTCACAGTCTCTTGTGTCTCAGATTAGTGTTCTGTATTGCCACAAGATCATTGTCAAGTTCTACTGTGCCTTTTAGACTGTGAAATGCCTGTCTCACACTGTCCTCAGAGACTTCAGTAAGAGCAGGAGTCATCTTTATCTCAGTTTGAAATCTATTAAATGTGTTTATTTAATTTTTTGTTTATGAAGTCATTTATTTTTAGATGTAATTAAAGAATTTTAAAACAAGTTAAAAATTTGACAAGAACGTGAAAAATTCCTGTGAAGAGGAATGTGAAAAAAATTACTTGCCAAATGAAAATTCTATCTTCTTCATTCAGCCTTCCCTGGGGATGGCTGCAAAAGGAGAGCTGTTATCCAAAATTCTGTCCCTTTACAATTTTAATCATGTTATGCACTCTGCAAAACACTGTGAGCTGCAGTGCTGCTAGTAACACCCTACTGGGTGCTATAGCAGAGTTTTATGTATGTGCTATATGAGATCTGGCAAATCAGATCCTAGAGGGATGTTACTGGGAGCGACTCACACCAACCAGACATGAGAAGGAGGTAGCCCAAGGTAGCAGCAGCCAGCTGGTGCCACTGCTCCTGTGATTCTAACAGTGATACCTCAGGGAGGGAGGAGAGGCAGGGAGAACTAAATGTAATACGAGAAAAAAAAAATATTCATTTTCATCAGAAGAGGTAAATTAATAGCAACAGTATCATTTCTGCCACCTCTCAGGATTAAAGGAAACCATATGCATAAAATTGTTTTCTAGATAGTATGAGATTCTTAACCATCTTCCCCCCAAAATTAATACTGGATAAGTGAAGTCATTGCCAAAAATACTGACATCAAAAGAGTCCATCTTGGGTGAGATGAATTGCCAAGGAAAGAGAATTTTGTATCAACTAATATTTAAAATTTTTGGAACTCTCAGTCTGTGAGGAAGAGAGACAGGTCTTCAGTAAGCTCTGCTTGGCACCACTGAGGGTATTACAACCAAGTAGTGGCTCCCCTGGATTTGTCCAGCTCATTGTCTCACTGCTTGCACACATATCCAGGCACTTTCTGTCTTGGCAAGGCCTGGACTGAAGAGTTTTACTGTGAGGTGAAGTGTGTAAAGAAAAGGTTAATGGGCTCTATCCAAACCCTAGTGAGGAGGCAGATGATACCCACACTACTGTAGCACTACAAGATCAGGCATCTTCAGGGTTGGTTCACCAAAAAGGCCTAAATGCCAAGATGTCCCTTCATTCCTTCATGTGATTCCCCAAACAGAGGGAATGCTGACTATTATCAGGCAAGGATGAACTGCCACAGGAACACTGCATGTTATGGACATGACCAGATATTTTACAAACACTAAATTTACTCTTCCAAATAAATATTGTATATCTTTTTTCAAATCTGAAAAAAGTTAATTTCTCCCTAATATCACAGTACCACCTGAGAACATGAATTATCTCTTCATTTATTCTTCATTTCTAGGTAAAGATGAAACAGCCTGGGGCAATCAATTTTAGATTTGTTAATAAAAGTGTTAAATCGGTCATGCATATTGGAAATGTAAAAAGTACCATCCTCCCTCTTAGGTGGACTCATTTAGATTCTCATCTGAGAGGCTGCAATTGTTCAGCACTGCAAAGATATTAATTAAAAATTTGGGGAAAAAAGTAAGTTATTTTGTGTTGCTTAATTATGTACTTATCCGGATATTAGATTGAAAATAACAGGAATAGGTTTGAAACAATAAATTTCCATTGCATTGGAATGTTTTTTTGTCTGACAAATTTTGCTGCAGATTATACTTCACAGACATATACAGCATTTCTATTTGCTGGCTTTTTATTAGATTTGGCAAGAACTACTGCTATGAAAAAAAGTTCTCAAGGCAAAACTGTGATTAAAAGATATAAAGATTCATATCTGAGAAGAATGGTGATAGAACTGCCAGTGATAACTGTAGTGGCTCAGTGGAGCCATCCTGTGTAAGCATATTTAAATTATACATGTATGAATATATAAATTTAATCTATTTTTCTTTTCTTGAAGGTACAATGTGGAAAATAAACCTAACAAAGGCAGGCCAGGTATGTTTATACTGCATTTCTGGAATTAAGTGTAGATAGACAAGAAAAAGAAATTTATAGATTTATGGCTATGATTCCACTGAATGGCATTAACCTTGTAAAGAAAGGCTTTTAAACTGAGCACTCAGAAAAAGGCAATGGTTTTATGAGATGTTTAGTGCTGGCAGAAGTAGAGCAGAGGTTTGAGACAGAGTTCAGAAAATAGACAAAGCCTCTCTCTTGGTTGAATCATGAAGCAAAGATATGAGATAGATCTGGTATAGAAAGATTGGCTGGAGTGAAATGGGAGAGAGCCCCAATCCAAAAGTGTCAAAATAATAACTTTCCTTTGAAGAAACAAGAAGCATGATAAAGATTTAAAAAAAAAAAAAGTATGTTCCCAAACAAAAAACAAAAAAGCAAGAACTCATTTCATTAACGGCACTCTTTTCATCATAACCATATGACAGCCTAGAAATTACAAAAAAAACCAACAAACCAACAAACAAAACACAAACAGTGTGATTTATTGCATTTCTGGAAAGAGCAAAAGGCAGATTACCGTGTATATCTATGAAGTATTAAAGGTAAGTGAAAAACTCAGGAACAGAGTGAAAAGACATAGAAACAAGATAAGGTACAATAATCTCTTCTTGGGAAAAAGTTAGTTTCAGGTTAAACAAAAGCAGTTGACCAGTATTGTATTTGATGGACTAATGGAATTTTCTGTCAAAATAAAAAACACATTATAGAATTTCTAAGCTAGGAATTAATATTTTTTCCAAATGCAAGGAAACTAACTTACAGTGTTCTACACTATGCATTTCCCAAAGGACTTTCACTAGAAGGAAATGGAAATAAATGCTGAACATTTCAATTAGTTGAAAAATTTAAATTCTTGAAAGCTAGGAGTCTGGAAAGGGCTGTTTTCTATCTATTCAGTTCTAATCAATCATTTAATTCTGGATTGTGAGGCTGGCATTTTGTGGAGCATCTGCATAGCTAAAAGAACAATGTTACTTTATTGAGCTGGGTCAAGAATAAAAATATATTTCTTTTCAGTTGGATTTTATTTTAATGAACTAAATATTAGTTCCATATAAAAGTCCCATAAAAATAAAAAACCAAGTACTTAGTAAGTACTATTGCCAAAATAACTGCATTTTGCACAGTATTGACTCTTTGCAGTGAGGAACAGGAGTGTTTTCTTTTTGCCTTGGTCTCTGGTTATCATGGCTCCTACTTTGATATTGTTCTGATACCATGCTGAATTCCTGAAAGGATGAATTCACAGCAAGGTGGTAAATACATAGTGTTCCACGACTAATATTTAGTTGCAAATAAAAGTAGTTGTGGTCACAGTACCTCCAGTTCTGCAACTCCTAATTCTCTACTGGATGTATGATTTCAACATAATATCTCGTACTTCTCTGACTGTATATGTTGGTATATGAACAAAACAACAGTGCTACAGGTAAAATAAACCACTTAAAAGATAGTAACTATTTCAATCTGAAAAAATAAATTAATCTGATGTAGCTTGATTCCAGCCCCCAGGACATGACTGATGTGGTCATATTGTGGTAACGTGTCAGCCAAACACCATTACCACCTAAATGTTATTCCTGTAGCCAAAATGTCCAGGAGTTCTTATCTGTTTCTGGGGTCATGATGATCAAGAAGACCTTGAGAACATAATATTCTGGCAAAAGCATATTGGTTACAAAATATAATACTGGGATTTGTGTTGCCTTTCATCAGAACACCAGCTGGTGTCTGCCTCTATTAGTTAAAAAGCTGGAACTGAAGTATCCTGGCATAGGAATCATGAAGATCTGCTTGAGAAAATACCTATGTTTTTACATATGATGAATACAGTAAAGTTATGAATTCTAGATTTACAGACTCCATCAAAACTTTTATAAAGGGGTGGAGGGCAATATAGATGGCACAGCTTATGCATGAGCACAAAATAAATGCATGACAAAAAAAATGCACCCAAACTTGATGTTCACAATTTCAGACTGGATGCCACTTTTCTCAGTGCCTACATCCCCCTATATTTGGAGTTTAATTTTAACATGCTGTAAGTACATTTAATTAATCTTAGTCTGTCACTTAGGGTATTTCAAGAGAGATTTTTTTCTTTTAAGAGTCAATTTTTATCAACACCTATTCAAACTAATTAATCTGATAGCAGGAGAAAACTACTAGTTATAAACACACAGAAAAACTCAATCTTCTGTTTGTAGGCCTCTTCTACAGTCTTCTTCAGTACAGCTTGGCTGCTATACTCTCTCTCTATGCCAAAATGATGTTTCAGCCTTGTTGAATATTTGAATAGTGGGCCTATTTACTTTCAGTGTACAGTATTCATCAGCATTTCAGACCAGCCAGGGTCAGTTCAGATCCCTGTGGTATGTCTTTCTATTTTTATTAAATTCAGGCAAGTAATAGCGACTGTGATCTATTTTTCCATCAACTGGCAATTAGTATTAATGATACCTGAAAAGATCAGTCATCATTACTTTGGATTATTCTAATATGTGTGTAGAAAGTGAATTAGGCCAGTTACACTGGTGAAACCTGACAAGAAAAACAGTAGAAATAGACATCATTTGTTTGCACTCCAAATTCCCAGTGATACAATGATTATTTTCCATTGACTCAAGTCTGATCAGTAGAATTGGTACCAAACTGAACAGTTGCATTTGGACTGCTATTGGTCAGTAGAAGAGGTTGGTGATTAACTGACTTTAATTAATGAGTAGGCAGAAAAACTGATACTCACAATAGTTCTCTGCTGTTAAAAAGGTTTTCCCAATCTCAATATTTTGGTAGGTATACTAACAGTTTTTAATGGAGAGATCATGTTAGAGTAAAGATGTTAGGTATTTGCCTGCTTTCTGACATTCACTGTCTGAATTTTCAGTTTCTTTTAATTTCTAAACAATGCTATTTCAGACCTGTGCTAACATGTGCTCAATAGACCTATCAAAAATCATACATGAGGTGAATTTTGCAGCAGCAATTGCATGTAAGAATCTCCCATAGAATTAATGTCATCAGAGATGCTTATTAAGAAAGAAAAGAAAGGTCATCTGGTTTCAAGTTTACAATACTGTCAATTCATTGTTCAGTAAAGATTGTGTTCATCTTGAAATGCCATCTGAAAGCCAGACATAATTTCTGTAGCTTTTATCAAGCTGAATGACATTTGTGTTAGACAGAGGGGTAGGCTGCATAATCTGCTGGATCAATGGAAAACTCACTTTGAATCTATGTATTCATACTATCGTGCTTCCTATGTGAGCAGGAAGCTTCCTCCAGCCAGAAAGAATGTGAGATCACAGCCTACCTGCCTCCCTCCCAAAACTTGGTAAGGTATCAGAGCTGAGAAGATCACTGCTGGTGACAGGTGAGTTTTGTGGGGTATCCCCAGTGTTCTTATATTTGGTGGGTACTCCCTCTTCCACAAGAACTCAAGAGAAGTTCTGCTTAAAAATCAGGCACAGGACATACATAGCATCCACAGAAGCCTTATTCATTGGTCAGCTACAGTGAGTGTCTTTGCTTTTCTATCTATGCCTCAGTCAGCAGCACACCATGAGGCAAAAATGGGAAATTTGGTGTGGATTTAGACCAGATGTTTTGTCTTTGACTAAGTTGCACATTACAGATGTTTTCTGAGGAAATAGCTGGGTTTAATGAGACATATCCTCTTCTTTTTGTCTGTCTTTTATTACAGGTGCTTGATTCAGCACATCATGAAAGCCTAGAAGACTCAGGGAAGTGACTCAAAGTCCCAAGAAAGAAGTTATACTGATGAAAGAACCACTTAAGGGAATACAGACAGCTCTGTTTGTACGAATGACAGCAGAATGTCATTTTTCCTCAGTTTCCATGGGTGCATGGCACAGCTGAGTTGTGCCTGTCCTGACAGTTCTCAGCTGATGGACACATTGGAAGAAACAGCTGTTTGTGATATTACATTGTACACAATTCTGCTTAAAGAAGACATTAGATACGCTGAGGGCATTTGCCTTGTGCTCTCAACATGGAGAATGTCTGCAGCTGACAATCAACCCAGTGAAGCAAAAAGCAATGTGTAGTGGAGGAGAAATTGTGTATTGGAGTGTTGACATATTCTATTTATAAATTTCCTGTTAAAAGTACATGTTCCATGAACAGAGATCACAGAACAACAGAATCCCAGAATCACAGAATTACAGAATGGGTAGTGTTGGAAGGGACCACAGTAGGTCGTCTGGCCCAGCATCCCTGCTCAGAGATGGGAAAATGCTGCTTGTAAATCCTTTTGCAATGTGTTTGGCGGTCCTATTTCCACACTCAGGTGCCTGGCTGAAGAATGAAGTGTTATTACAGTGAACTGTTGTTTATGTTTCTTTTTAACAACTGTGGTCTCATAATGTCATTCATAAAACCAAAAATGAACACCAGTTTCCATCCTGTCTTCCTAAGATTCAAGATTTGTTCTTGACGAACACAAATAGGTAATACTATCATCTGGCTTAAACAACACAGAAAAAAAATATTAAAGTTGTGATGTTATTCAAGGATGTTTAACCCCTAATTTATAACAAATTATAGTACAGGACATCAGTCCTCAGAAATATTCCTGAAGTGCTCTGATGTTTTAGATGTTGCTGATTTCAATCTGATAGTACTGTTGGTTCAAAAAAGAAATAGTTCTTTGGACAGAAATCAAATATCTTGTTGATACCTAATTTAGTGTCTTCATGAATTAACATTTTATAAGAGCTTGCTTCCTCTCTTTGAAAGCAGTAGATAAGTATATGGAATAACAGACTCCCTTAATTATCTTGAACATACTAATATGACATACTTTAAAACACTAGTAGTGTCTTGTAGAAATTAATGTTACTAAATAATGATACTAGCTAATTAAATTGAAAGGAAAATTTGTATGTGTGTGACAGAAAGGAGGCAAAACATATGACATGGCATAAATCCCTATTCCTGTTCAAATTAGCAACTAATTCACTGGTTGTGTTAGTTACCCTTCCAATCAAAGTATGGGAGGAAGAGTGAAATGGCAAATTTTTTGGTTCACTTTTACCAAAATAAAGGCTATATGAAAGAAGAAACTGTTACTGAATGGATGCAGTTTGGTTTTTTTAACCAATGAATGCTGACCTACACTTAGAGTATTTGAAACAGAGTTCAAAAAGTGTTTGCTGGTGAAAGAATAGCTGTGAAAACCTTAATTATTTGAAATGCTATATTTAAATATTTTATAATTGCTGTTATATTTTATATACCTTACTTGAAGGAAACAGGCCAAAAATGGACAGAAAGCAGCTAAGAAGGACGGTTGCTTTCTTAAGAGAAAGTGGGATTTTTGAATAGTCAGTGTAAAATTGCAATGACCTTATCTACAAGTATTACTTCTTGAGCTGTTTTCCAATGCAGAGGTTGTGTAAATTTACAGTTTCATTGGAAAAACCCACAGATAAAATAGATTTCCATAGAAAAGGCTTTTTTTGTTGAGCTGGTGGATTATTCTATTTGCTTTGACTGAGCACTGGTTCGACATCTTTTCCTTCCACTCCTGGCAGATATGACTGATGGATGTTGGCAATGCTAGCAAGAACTCATTCCCTGAGGGATATGGAGGAGCTCCTATGAAACCTTACAGCTGGAACTAAATCTTCTTTAAATTAAGCTAGGAAAAATGGTTTAACTTCTGAAAGACCACCTTTTTCGTGGATAAACAAATAAGCCAAGCTAAACTTTAGGCTGCTAACTGGCCATCAGTATTTCGGAGGGAAAAATAAAACAAACTTGTGGGAAGCTACATCAAGACTTTCTAATATCTTTCAATGTTTCTGAGCTACAAGGACCAGGGCAGGTGCAGCCTGTTGTAAAACATGCCAGGAGCCATGAACATGCAGAGACTTTGTATCCATACAATAAATCCTGGTTGCTGGCATCCCTTGGGCTAATACAAGAGCAGCAAGCTATTTGCAGCCCTGGTTGTCTCCCTTATGGCTTGTTATTCTACCCGTGGGTCCTGGCTTTGAGTGTAGGGACTGGCACTTGTTGGCAGTGGCAATTGAGCCAGTTCAAGGCTGAGCTAGGGCTTTCCCAGAAGGGAGTTATGGAAAGAGGACATCCATCAGCTCAGTTTTGCACTTCCTGCCCTAGGCATGGGAGGAACAGACCCTCAGCTAACATCCCTCTCCTTGCAAGAGATCCCCTGGGAGTGTATTTAGGGCATTCTGCATTTGTGAAACACCAAGTCAGGTGTCTGTACTGCTGCAGCCAAACAAGCCCTGCACAAAGTGCAGTGAGAGGCATCAGCATCAGCCTCAGGGACGTACAGTACTTTCTGCACATCGTTCCTTCCACTATATTAATTGTCCTCTCTTCAAAGCAGCAAATATAACTTTCTGCTGCAGACAGACTAATTCCAGCAGAATGGTGTGGTGTATTCTGTAAAATCAATATTAATCATTTTCAAATTGTTTGCTTGTTGACTTTCTGAGGACAGAAAGAAATCCTTAGGGCAACTTAAGCACAGCACAAACAAAATGTTCAACAACAAGAAAATGTTTGGCTTTTGTTTTTGTTTTTTGTTTTTTTGCCTCTTGAATCTCACATTTGACCTTTAGAATACTCTTGTCATTTAATCTCATAAAGGGCCATAAAATGTGATGAATAACTAATATCTTACCCATAGTCATGCTTGTGTAGTATAATTCTGAAATTCTCTGTGAATTGCATTAATGCTGGTTTAAGCATTTTATTACATTATTTTGTGATTATGGACTATAACTTATTTGCTGTGAACCATACAAATAGGAAGATAAAACCCTTCTTCATTTTTGTCCCCAATAGCAAGACAGAAACAGAAAATAGAGTCCTGATATGCAATTTGGGCTGAATTATTACATTCTTTTCAATAGGTAAGGTGTTTTCATTTTACTGATCATCCTCAAAGTGTTCTTTTTTTTATCACAGTTCCCCTCATACTGCTTTTACAATGATGGTGTATTCATAACAGTGATTGGATTATAGGGAGAGAAGTACTTACCCCTGTTCTTCAATAACTCTCCTTTTGATGACTGTTTCAAAAGGAATGCTACTGGAGACTTAAAGAAAACATAAGCAGTCTGAGATTTAATCAAATTATATAAACATTAAACTGATAATGGTTAAGAAATGTAAATCACATTAATTATTGCTACTGAGTCTATCCTTCTCTCTGGTGCAAGGATAAAATTTTGTATGTTTGCTACACTAGTTTTTTGAAAATATACAGGAGCGGCTATTGCATCACTTAGCCATAGGAAAACAACTTCACTGCTTTCTGTGCATCCCTCTGAAGGCTGATACAATCCTCAAGGGCAATTTGTCTGAACAACAATTTCATTGGGATGGAAGAAGATTTACTGTGAGTAAGAAAATTAGTAGAGTAAACCTAGAAATGTTTTGTTTAATATGCCTTCATTTATACTTTGTGCAAATGGAAGGAGACTGGAAGATCTGAACAATTTTACAGAAAGAGAATACTAATACATATATTTTCCCCAGAGCACCATGTGGCTCTGATCTCAGAATCAGATTTCTAAACTAGACGTTGTACTCAAATATAAACAGGAACTACCTCTGCCTTTCTTTTAGTCCCCAGCTTTTGAGGCATTAGTGCATCTAGTTCTTTTTCTTCAGTCATGCTCTCTTCATCCATGCTGTGATATGTGAACAGACACATAAGCATGCACATGTTATGCTCACAGACAGGGATTTGAATTAGAGCTTATTTTGCAAGCCTATTTATCAGAAGTCTATTGATGGTCTATTGAATGACTTAATAAGCCCAAAAAGCCTATATTTTCAGAGTGTCATTGTATGAAGTATGATAAACAGTATTTATTATGCATGGATAAAGTATTTTTCTTCCGCTGGGCAGTGTTTTTCAACAGCTACTTCTCACCAATTCACAGTTCTCTTGGATATGATTTCACTGGCAAGCCTGTTCTGTCCGGCACATCTGTGTAGGGGTGTTAGCATGGGTAGAAGATGAAAATGTTTCAACAAAGTAATTGAGGAATAACATGAAGAGCTACTGGGCTCCTGTTTGCAAGGTTTTGGCCATATCCTGGCCATTTCTGCTTTTTAATTATTTCAAACAGTACCTTTAACATGTATTCGAACAGAAAGATATATTCTTTTCAAAGCATGGAATCACTGGCTGCAGTTTTATAGCTCACGGCAAGCAACCTAGAGGCCTTATTAATACTTGATGAATCCCTCTCAATGTCTCAGCAGTGAAGAGAAGACAAACAACCGTGCTGGATGATTGATGCTGTGCCTGCCAAGGAGGAACTTTAAAGCATGATTCTCTCTTAACAAAATCTGTAGAAGAAATCTGGTCTGATCCTGTGTGATCCTGCAGTAGTGATAGTGTGAGCTGAGTGGAGATGGAACCACTACCCTATTGTGCAATGAAAGTGAGTTAACAAGAGGTTTAAGTTTGTAGCAAGGTTTTCAAACTTCATCTCTGTCTCATCCCTACCCACAAGGTTCCCTAGATCTCCATGGCACACTGCTCTTCGGGAATGTGCGTTTGCACACCTAGGTCAGGCTGCACACGGAAACTTACATTATCACTACTTCCAAGTATTGTTTGCTCTCTGAAACATATAGTTGCAAAGAGTCTATTAATCCCCTTTTTCATTGTTTTTCTTCTTCAAATCATGGACTCTCTGTTCTCTGTGCAGCAGTTTTCCTTTTGTTCTGTTTCTTCTTGTTCCCTTCAGGTGTCCTGACATAAATAACCTTTGTCAGATGAGACACATTGTTGAACTTACTGAGTAATCTCCTGTGCACCTGCTCAAGCCCTAAAAATCAGGCTTGAGAGATCCTTACCTAAGCATGATGACATATGGGCAGAGAATCATTCACCTTTCCTGCAGTTTGCTGGTTCACAGGAAACTGCAATGCTCTGCAGTCTTTTGCTGGAGTAGGGCCACCAAATGGGTGAAGTGAACAAACCTGTATTTGATTCCAAATGAAATTTTCAGTCACATGGACATCACAAAGAATCCCTCACATCAAAAAGAATCCCTAAACTGCACATGAACTCCTGAAACTACAGTAGCCAAATTGCAATGCTGCTGTGTGCCAAGTCTGCCTCAAAAGGGATGATAGTAGTATATATTTTAAAGTATGGCCACTTTAACTTCTACAGGACTATTCAATATCAAACAGGAACAGCTTCACTAAAATGCAATTTAATTTCAATTAATACATCTGGGTCCATAAATTTGCCTTTTACTTATTTCATTTTGTTTTTGTAATGGCAACATACTGAAGCCAAAGGGAAAAAGAAAAAGATTCTACTCCAGGGCATAATGAATTATTGATTAAGGCAGCTAGAGCAGTATGAATCCTTATAGGAAGCCAAAAGTAAATCAGTAAATGAAAGGGTTTTAAATATATACTTAGAAAAAGGAATTTTGGCAAATATTGAAATGAATATTATACAGGAAATTTTCAAACCGTCTGAATTGCTAATCCTAGCTGTCCAGTCAGTCCATGATTTAAATAAATTGCAGTTTAGAGTGAATTATGTGGGAAAATGAATCCAATAAAGAAAACAGCTTGTAGAAGAGCTAACACTGAAAATGTGGCAGAATTTAAATCCTGATCATGTGAAAACATTTGTTATACAGATCAGACAAAAGACTTGTGAAGAATGGAAAGATTGAAATGCTTTTCCTCAATAATAGCATAAAATGAATGTCCACTGAAAGTGCTAGTACATGGAGAGTTCATACCAGCAAAATGAGAGATTGTTGTTTATCAGGTCTCAAAGGCAATATATTGGGATAAGGTGATGTTAAATCAAGAAAAAAAATCAAAGAAAAGAAAAAAACCTCAAAAATTCCCTACAAGAAACCACTTAATTCATCTGCCTTATGGCCAAACTCTAAGGGAAATTTGTCTCAAGACAGTGTGAAGGCCATAATTCAATTATTTTATTTTTGCCCTCTTACAGCAGAAACTATACACCAAGATCCTTCTTCT